GCAGTTTAAGGTCTGTCTCTCCCCACACCTCATTCCCTTTCACCATCTATGAATTTCTGTCCTCTCAGATAAAGCAAGGCAAATTTTACAGAACTGTGCTATAAATTACATAAGTGGAGCAATTTGGGTTACACTGTAAAATAAGTTTTCTTGCTTAAAAAGAAACAAAAAAACCCTGTATGGATTATTCAGATTTACAGCACAGCCTAACAGTTGCGGCAACAGAAGAGTGATGAACTCCAACAGCTGCTTCCTTAAAATCCAGTTTTAAAATGGATTGATGCTGTGACATAAAAGAAAATATCATTGCAAAAGGAGAAGAATGGAAAGCCAGGGAAGAGAATACCAGCACTCAATTCCATTTTTCTTCCTCAGTAAAACTAAAGATTTGAAAGAAATGCAATTATTTTAACAACTCAGAACTTCTGCACTATTTGCTAAAAAGAATCCCTACATTTAGGCAGAGAAGATAATTTCCAAAACAGCACAAACATACAAAAAAAGCCCCCCACAAACTCAAACTAGAGTTACCTCCATCAGAAGTTAAGAAGAAACTAAAGCTTTGTTGCACAGCAGACCCATGACAAAAGAGATGCATCCAGACAGAGGCACCCTTCTTGTGAAAACACCCACCTCGTGATGGCCATAAAGATATGGCCAAAAAAGGGCTGAAACAACACGAAGGTACTGACAAGTAACAGCAATACCAGACAGGAGACAGAAATCCCACCTCAGTATTCATCCCTTCCTTTACAGGTTTTAATCTTATATAGGATAGTACACTTTGGCTAAACAATTCAGAGAAATCTTAGGAAGATCTGTTCATGATAACTGACAACAGGTAAACAAGAGTGCTTTAAGACAACTAAGACGTAGCCCACAAGCTACGTCTTTTTGCACAAGCTTTCCTCTATAAGCTCAAGGTTCAAGATGGTGGTAGTAAAGAGACAGCAAGCTCAAATAAATGACAGCTTAGTGATCCTAAATAAGTACAGGATTGCATGAGCCCCTAAAGAAAAAAAGATGACAACATCCTGGTAACACCAAGGAGAAACAACCGGTAACACTGAAATGGAACAAAAAGTAAACAAGAATTCTAGTTGGGAAGATAAAGAAATAGCGGAGATCATAGAAGATGCTACACCAGGGGAAGTGAAAGAACTTTGTGCAACAACGGAATACCAAAGTGAAAATAAGAAAGAAATTGACAAGAAGTACTCCAGTTCTAATTGCCTCAGCAGGCAAAACAGCAGTGGGGCAACAGGAACATTAGCTCAACTGGAATAAAGTCTGGTATGGTTGCATCAAGTTTAATTTAACATGACTCAACAGATACAGCTGATAAATTTGGTAAAATAAGAAGAAAAAGGGGAGAAAGGCTGGAGGGATAACCACAGACAGAAGTAGTGGCAAATAAACAATAATCAGAGAGTAGAAGGCAGTGCTATCCCTGTAGGGATCGTTCACTTAGGAACTGGATTCAATGATACTTGTGGGTTCCTTCCAACTCAGAAAATTCTGTGGCACTGCAGACATCCAGGGAGAATAAGACATCATGTGCTAGAGGATTACATATGCTATTGAAAGCAACAGAGACCAACAGGTTGAGAAAGACATGGAATCCTTGCACCTTGCGCACAAGAAGCCTGCAGAGATATAAACTGAAGACAATTTCAGCATAATACAGAATCTGGACTGGAATTGATTTAATGTGAAGGGGAAAGAGTGTGTGACAACAAACATATATTGCTGTGTTCAGGAATTTGGAAAAGAAGGGAGATAGACTGGAGTGCTGTTATTTTTAAGGATGGAGAATAGCAACTCAGAATAAAATTAGGAAGGGAAGAAGATGGCAGTAGGACGTAAAAACCTGAAATTAAAACAGAAAAACTGAATGAATGGGGCTTTGGGTAGTTAAAAAGGCAGAAAAAGCAGAAAACAAACATGAGACTACATCTCTGTAAGTAGCAATCAATAGTGCTGAATAAAGGTAAACATGTCAATTCTAATCGGTTTTTCTCTGGAAACCTTTAGATTCTGCTGGGGAAGAGGCATAGAAAAAGACCTAAGATAGAGAGCTGGCAAAGCAAAGGAACTGGGAAACATATATAGGGGAGAAAATGGCTAACTGATTATGAAATAAAAGCTATGAATAAAACAACAAAGAATTCTATCCAGTTCAACACTCAGTCACAGGTAAATGAATTATCAGAAATGAGAGGAGAAGGGGGTAGTCTTGAGAAAGGGACTTGGAGATGCAGTCATCAGATAAGATGGTAGGCAGAATCAAAACAGAAGTGATAATTTCTGTCAGAAACAGAAACAGGGATTGGCAGATGAAAACCAAAAAAGCTAGAGTGCTGAAAAATAAACTTCATGAGAAATCTACTTGAAAAACAAAGTCATAAGGAATGAAGGTGTTCATGATAAGAGGAGAGATTATGTCAAAGACCAATATGAAACCACAAAGGGAGAAGTAAAAAGTAGGTGAGGAAATATGAAGGAATGTCTGATGGACCCCTGCCCAAGAAAAATGTAAGAGGAGGAAATGCAAAGACCATGGTAGATGAGGAGCACAGCTTTTTTTTCATGATAAAAGGGATGATAGGACAGACATTAGGACCTTATGTAGTGCTGTATGATATACAGCAAGGTTTCTGTAATCCATATACCAGACAAAACTGCTGATAAAATATTCAGCACTAGTCTTTGATTTGGATTTCCTGAGGAGACACATCTTTGCTTACAGTTAGGAAATTAAATAAACTGTCATTCTTTATACTTCCCTCATATGTATATGGGGTACAAAGCTCAATTGTTGTACTGTAACTTGCCATACATAAGGAAGGCAAATGAAAAGTTTACTCTGAACATCATACAACCTAGCAGCAGAACACAAATTTAACTAAAACCTAAAACCAGTCAGCTGAAACTCATAAACAGGCTAGATATGCAGACCAATTCACCTCTAACATTACCTACAAATAAGGCTGCATTTTCCTTTAAGAAAAGAATGCTGAACTGCAATTCAAATTCATACAGAAGAGCTAGAAAGGGCCTAGAAAACACTCCAAAAAAAGCCACTTGCATAGAAATCACAGAAAATAAGGTTGGAAAAGACTTGAAAACATTACTTCAAAACATCAACTTCACTCTCAGTGCTCCAAGTCTGTATCAGCTTTCCTTATGCCACTCCTGACGGATGTTTATCTAACATGCTTTGGGTTTTTTTTAGCAAACCTCAAGCAATACAGACTTCACGATATCCTCTGGCAGTCTACTGCAGTGACTGAACAATTTCAAAATCTGCCCCTAACATTTAGCATATATGTTAGTCTCTTAATTCAAACAATTTGTTCATGCACCATAAGGCTGATTGCCTTCCTCTTTGCAGCATATTTGCTATACAGAAAGGATGTTTCCTATTGCAACTGGACAGCTCTCCGCAGTGTTCTGCATTGGAAGGACAGAGCTCTTATATAAAAATAAAAGTATGCCTGAACGGATAAGCTACAAAAACTCATCTCTGTGATGAGTCATCTGGGACAGCAGAAACGGACTTTCTCACATAAGCAGTCTGCTGGAAGCACGATTCAGCCACTGCAAGTGATACAGCCAAAGGAAACTAACATTTACAAGCGAGCAAAGCACAGCCAAGGCATCAATTGTGATCGTTTGTACTACAGCCTTCAGAAAAGAGCCACGCAAAAAACCAGCATAGCTTTGGCTGTGTTGTTCAAAGGCAAAGTTAAAATGGGAAGCAGAGCCGCAAACTGGAGCATTGGGTGGAGCTCCCGATTGTGCCTTGCCTGGCAGCACCACTCTGGGGGGAAAAAAAGGAGTCAGTACGGGCAAAACAGAGCGAAGGGGGAGGGGGAAGAAAGAAAAACCGACCTCGGAAACAAGAGATGTGCACGGGACCAATCAAACACAGGGAAATGGATGTAGGGAGGCACCTGAAGCCTTGGCCATAGAGTGAGGAAGGAGGCTGGGATTAGGACTGCCTCCCTTTCCAGAGGCAGTGGACTTGAGGGCTGCCCTGGGCCTGATGACTTTTCTCCCACGGAATAGCTTCTTTCTGTCGGGTGAGGTAGTAGGGACCTCAAAGAACATGCTGCAGGGAAGGGCAGGGCGTGCAGGGCTATCTAGGGAGAGGTATTGAGGTCGGGGAGAGCTGGGGTGGGGATCACAGGAAAGTGATGCAAGGCACTACAAGGATGGCAGGTGAGAACTGGGAGGTCTGCAGCTGCAGCCATGGCAGGGAAGTGGAGCAGGGAATGCCACAGATTGCAAGGCCAAAGAAAGGCTGGGGAGGAAGGGGCAAGGTGAAAATTACCCACAGGAGAAGGAGCACACAGAACAGTACACAGAGGGTGGAAGTGCGTAGCATGGTAAAGAGCAAGGCTATGGTGGGGGGTGAACAGCCATGAGCGGGAAAAGCACAGCTACAGATGGAGCAAAAAGGTGCACAGTTCATGTGCATGAAGGCTTTGGGCGAGTGGATGTATGGGGGAGGTACCCAGCCACGAAACAGCAAGGCTACGAGAGGCGAAAGCAAGGTGGTCGCAGTTACGAGAGGACAGAGCTGTTGGTGGAGGAGCGTGAAGTGGGGAGGGAAAGCAATGGGTTCCCAGCCACGACAGTGTGGTTACAGACTGGGACGCAAGAGAGTGCGCAGCCACGGGAGAACGGCGCTACAGGTGTAGCGAGGGGGATGCACTGCCACGGGAAAGCGGGGCTCCGTGGTGGGAGGCAGCTAAGGGGTGCTTGGCATGAGGCAAGCGGGGCTGAGAGGGGCACAAGGGGATGCACGGCCGCCAGAGAGCGCGGCTGCGGAGGGGACAAGCGGCTGCGCAGCCACAGGACAGCGACGTGGGCAGACCCGAGGCCAGGGGGAGGCACAGCCGCGGGGCGGGCAGCGCGGCCAGGGGCAGGTGTGCCAGGGTCCCGCAGCGGAGGGCGGTGGGGTCGGAGAAGGGAGGGGGACACGGGCCACTCACCTGCGCGGCAGAGCTGCAGCAGCCCATGGCGTCCGCTGGTCTCTGCCCCGTGGGTGCCTGCTAGGCATCCACTCTCTGCGACTCCCCCGCCCCGGGCGGCGGCGCGGCGCGGCGCGACGCGGGGGGACAGAGGGCGGCACCGAGGAAGCGGCGGGGACCGCGGGGCCCGGTCAGACGAGCGCGGCTGCACCACAAACGCCGCCGCGGCGTCCCCTCATCCTCCTCCCCCCAGCAGACGCGCGGGGAGGGCGGGGCCTGGTGGGGGCGGGGCCTGGTGGGGGCGGGGCCAGAGCACTGCGGCGCGGGGGGTCCCTGCCCGGCCGGCGGCCCCGCCCCCGCGCCGCCGCCGCTTCCGGTGTAGTGATGGCGGCGGGGTGCCGCTCCTGAGGGCCTGGCCGAGCTCAGGGCTCGTCCTTCGCTCACCACTCGCCCCGCGGCAAGGTGCGCGCCGCGGTGGGGACAGCTGCGTGTGGAAACCAAGCTCTGATCAGCGGGGCTGCCCAGGACTCTGAGAGCCCGCCCGCTGAGAGGAAAAAAAGACCTGATCGTGTGGGCTGGTAGTACATAACGCATTTGCAGGCAAGAATCTGTAGTAGAATTAAGCACCATTTCTGCACTTCTTTTAACGCTTCGAAGGATAGTGATTCTCCAGTGCCCTTCTCTGGACACATTCCAGCACCTCAGTGTCAGTGTCCTAGTGTCCTGCAGGGCCTGGAGCTGGACACAGAACTTGAGGTGGAGCCTCGCCAGTGCCAAGTACGAGGATCCTGCTGGCCACACCATTGCTGATACAGGCCAGGATGCCATTGGCCTTCACGTCCACCTGGGTATGCTGCTGTATCATGTTCAGGCCCTGTTCATGTTCAACATTTCTCGGCCCTCTTCCACCATGCAGCTTTCAGCCACTTTTACCCGAGCCAGTGGCACTGCCTGGGATTATTGTGATCCAAGGGCAGGACCTGGCACCTTGTTGAAGCTCTTACCGTTGGCCTTGGACCACCAATCCAGTATGTCCAGATCCTTCTGCAGAACCAGCCTACCCTCAGCGTGTCAGTATTCCCACACAATTTGGTATCATCTGCAGAGTGACTAAAGGGGCACTTGATCCCCTCATCCATGTATGTTGATATATAATATATTACATAGGCCCCAGTACTGAGGCCAGGGAGGCCACTGACCTGTTGCCAACTGAATGTGGCATCATTCACCACCACTCTTTGGGCTCAGCCTTCCAGACAATTTTTTATCCACCATACAACACACACATCCAAGCCATGAGCAGCCAGGTTCCCTAGGAGAATACTATGGGAGAGAGAGTCAAAGGCTTTGCTCTGGTCCAGATAGACAACACCCACAGCCTTTCCCGTGTGCACTAAGGACATCACTTTGTCAATGAAGAAGGAGATCATATTGCTCAATGAGGATCTGACTTTCCTAACCCCATGCTGGCTGGGCCTGACTGCCTGATGTCCTGCACATTCTGTGATCAAAAATGTCCAGAACTCATGGTCTGTTCCACAATCTTCCTGGGCACTGAGGTCATGCTGACATGACCTGTAGTTTCCCAGATCCTCCATCCTGTCTTTCTTGTAGTTGAGTGTCACATTGGCTAACCTCAGTCCCTTTTAAGGTATGTTTACTGGTTCAGCAGTTGTGTTTGAGTACAACCTAAATATAGGAAGCAATACTCTCTGCATAAAGTTTGGGGTTTTTTGCTGAATCTTAACTCAGTAGCAGAATTATCTACTATTCTATCAGTATAGTAGAATATCCATGATTAGAAATAGTGTTGCAATGACTTAAATATAAAACGATCCTTTTACAGGCAGAGTGAGGCAAAAGAGACCTTGTGACTGGAAAAGGAGTTTTGTTAGGCTTCCAAGAAAACTGAGAAACTGACATGTGGGTGAGTTGTGAATCACACTGGGGTTTTTTTAGCTCTTGTCAGTTTAATGGCAAGTAGAATCATGGAATCATTTTTGTTGGAAAAGACCTCTAAGATCACTGAGTCCAACCACAACCTGGCACTGCCAAGTCCACTGCTAAACCATGTCCCTTAATGCCACATCTTCATATCCTTTAAATACCTCCAAAGTTGGTGACTCATCAGTAACATCACAATTTTCTGATTTTGTAGTATCTGGTTAAAATAGTGTCTTACATTTTTGCATGTATATTGCTATTATTTTCATTGTTTCACCTCATTCTATCCAGATATTTATCTGGTGTTCAAAGATGTGGCCATGAAAGAAATGTTTTGCAGGAACACTCTCTAGCAGGAATGATTATTTTGTGACTGACACAGTAACTGATAACAAAAATTTGTAGCCAATTCTTGTGTAATTTTGGAGCCTTCAGAATGTGTTCCTCCATTTTGATTTTTATAAAATTGACTTTTGTCTCAGTGTTTCTCTTTTCTGTTTGTTTGGGTGTCAGAAGAATTATGTCTGTGCTGTAGATGTTATTTAGCCAGTCTCTTAAGCAGGCCAAATTAATTTTTTTTAAATAGTCTACTCATTTAGGACGTTTGCTTCAATAGTTTCATTTAGGACCTCAAAATGTTGTCATAGAAATTAAATTCTGCCTCCTACTTTTTTGCATGCAGACTAAATATATTCAGCATGATTATCAGAAGAGAGTAATGCATTAAAAACACATGACATTAAAAATGTCTGCCCCCCAAATTTGTGGACTCTTAAAACCCTATATTCTAGCCAATAGTGAAGAGCTTTGTGCAGCTGCAGAGAGGCAATAATAACTTAATAGTGATTAAAAAATTAAAAAATGCGTTGACAAGGGGAGCCTTTATGAAAAAGCTTGTAAACATACCAGCTGTAGTGTAGGTAACTGGGATTTAGTGCAGATATATGACAACTGTAGAAATTATTTGAACAGATATGAGTGTTAGAAATAATCTCAGAATCTCTGCCTCTGGACTAAGGAGATTAATTATGTTTTTGGTAGGGATGCAGTAATAGCAGCAGCAATAGTTGCCTGACTGTCACTAGTTTTACTGTACTTTGTCTGGTCAGTCACACAAAGGAGAGGAAAAGTTAAAAGATTCTGGTTTATTCATAATTATATGAGCTTTTATATTTGTTTGGATTAGCATTTCATGAAGGAACTGAACTCAGGCTTGCTGAATCTTAGTTCAGTTGAACTTCAAGCGTATGTCTAAGTGCATTTTTTTAATTGGGCTTTTTGGATACCTTACTGAATCTGAATGTAATAGGCTCTAAGGCATGGTTACGTCACAAGCTGCTAAAGAGCAAATCTGACTGCCCCAATTTACTGTTAATAGGAATCTACCTGTTTTTCCCTAACAGATTTGAGTCCGCCCTTCTGCTCTCGTCAAGAGCTTTACCTGTATTTTCATTTCATTGCTAGACTCAAAATGATAGGTAAGAGTTTTTTAAGCACCATCTAATATTGAGAGAGACAATGACAGAAAGAAGGCCCTAGAATGACAGAAATGCCATTAGTATTTGAGAAAATTGTAGGTTATGTCCCAACTGCTTTTATTCTGAGAAGGAAGCATTAATTATATGGTAATATTTACCTTTTCATTTCTCAGCAGGTGGAGAATCTTGACCTTACTCAGCCATATTTAAAAACCTAAGGATTTTACAAAGTACAATATAATCTATATCTTTGGTTCCATATTTATTAGAGAAATACCTTTAAAATTGTATTAGATAAAATTCTGTCCACATTGATATGTTCTTAAGTGTGAATTTTGAGAAGGAATTTTTGAACAGGCTCAGTTCTCAAAATGCTCAATCAAGACGTAGGCAAAACTTGGCCTTGCCATTAATGAAATAGGGAGCAATGCATTGTTCAGACTAAAATCTGAATATTGCACCAGCAATGTGTTGTTGCAGTCTGTGTGTTTGCATCGTTCTTCTAATTGGCAAACTGTACTTATTATCATTCTGCTGACTTCTTCCACCTACCAATAAACCTGCATCTATATGTGCTTGGCAACCACTATGAATTTTTAATAATCCCCTACAGTGTGCTTAGCCTCCTTATTCCTGAGGTTGTTTTTATTTGCTTTTGGCCTTTTTGGTTGTTTGGTTTTATGGTTTTTAAAATGTATTTAAATACAGAACCACATGTATTCTCTCCATAATATGCCCAGTGAATGTGCTTTGCTGTCATACACATGTGTTGATGCAGGATTAGGGGTGATTCTGCTGATTTCACCAGAATACTAATAGAAGCGCATCATGAGAAGGAATTGCAACAAACACATGGCAAGTAGGCTGTCAGCCTGTCTATGAGCAGGGGATAAAGCCCACTGACTTATTCAGACCCCTGTGGTCCTACATGTCTCAGAACTCATGTGAAACTGATCATCTTTCTGAAATGTTAAACCACGCCATTGCACATTTTTAAGTGCTGTGGAACTACAGCATTGAGGCTTCTGTCAAATCACACAGGACACCAGTAACAAAACAGAGAACTGGAGCTGTATGTTATAAACTCCAGCTTCTATACTGAAAATCCTGTGAGTTGTGAATTTTTGTCAGTCAAAATAAAAACATTCAATGCATTCTTCTTTGAATTAGAATAGTTGGTTTCTTGCAGTCTTTTTGATTGCTGACTAAGAAAAGATGAACAATGCTTAGTAAGACTGACTTCTTACTAGTTAAGGCTAAGATTTTCTTCTTGCTGCATATCTGACCACAGAAGAAGAGGTCAATTCAGTAAACTCTCTGAAAAAATCAGAAAACCTATTGTGATTCTACTTTTTACTGGAGCCCCATAAATGAGTCATATCAGGTCTGTTTCAATTTAAAACTAGAGACTCCAAGGAGAGAGAAAGAGCATAGGGCTTTTTGAACAAATCAGGAAGGTGAAATTTTCTTTCTCCACTCCTGAAACAAAATTTTGGTCCATTATACTCTTAGAGATGTAACTTTCTGGTGAGAGGATCGAGGTGTATAGTGGAGATCCTGTCCATAGGAGGCTATCAAAAATATTCAGGACTCATTAGAAGATTATAATTATTGTGTGTTAGGAAAATGGCTTTTTAAACATTTAGTTTAAGTCCTGCTTTGTATCTGTGATAGTACATTCATGCTGTAATGAAAGTAAACTGGATATTCTTTTTATATTACAACATGGAGGTTTTGCCCTATTTAATACCTGTTGGACTTCATTCTGATGTCAGATCACCTGTGCATGAAGAACAGTGTGAATAGAC